GTATACTAGGATCGAACCCCAAACCTTTTGGTGTATGGAACGACACTCCAACCAACTGAGCCACCTGGCCAGGACCCCCAAGGATCATTTTTAAGTCTTGAACATTCACATGTGTTTTAGCCTACCAATGGTCAGCAAACTGTGGCTTGTGAGCCGAGGTTTGCCAACCACTGGCTCTAGACCAGCCATGGCAAACTACGGTCCACGGGCCAGATCCGGCCCGTTTGAAATGAATAAAACTAAAAAAAAAAAGACCGTACCCTTTTATGTATAGTGCGATTGAAATTTCGTGGCCCATGCGCAGAAGTCGGTATTTTGTAGAAGAGCCACACTCAAGGGGCCAAAGAGCCGCATGTGGCTCGTGAGCCGCAGTTTGCCAACCACTGGCTCTAGACTCATTGTTTCTTTGTCAGTAAACTCTCAAAAACAATAAGCTTTTTACTTAGTGGATTCCAGGCAGCTCTATGTTCCAGTAGCCACAACTACAGTTCTTATTAAGTTATACATTTCTGATCTTCCTTGTAGTATCCTTAAACCTATCAAGCTTAATACAGAGGATCACATTCTTAATCTGTTTTCCCAGAACTGTTTTATCCTCCTGAAATGATTACTGGGAACCATATTAATTTCTCATAGGTTTTAATAAAGTGATACAATGGCCCTACCCTTGATTTGATCCTTGATGCCAGGCTGAGTAGGTCTTTGTTGTTCAAAGATTTTCTCAGTTTATCTTTTTACCAGTTGGGGATGAGAAAAAATTGCCTCTATCAATCATATAGGTTTCTTGAATTTCTCGACTCTTTCTATTCTCTTTCATTCTTGCTTGAAAACTGCCTATTTTTGCTGGGCTTATTTCTTTCTTATAGTTCCTTGTTAAATGCAGCTATCAATGGCCATTATATAATATTAATATTCTGTTTACTATCCTTTTATCTGAAAACTATAATTTTATTAGTTATACTATCTGTCTTCCAGTTAACTTCAAGAGATAAATTTATCAAATGTTTGATCATTGCATAACATTAATTGACAATCTCTTAGCCTCTGATAACAGTTAATTTGCCACCCATGGTCTAGCCTGTGGTCGGCAAACTGCGGCTCGCGAGCCACATGCGGCTCTTTGGCCCCTTGAGTGTGGCTCTTCCTAAGCCTTAGGAGTACCCTAATTAAGTTAATAACAATGTATCTACCTATGTAGTTTAAGTTTAAAAAATTTGGCTCTCAAAAGAAATTTCAATCGTTGTACTGTTGATATTTGGCTCTGTTGGCTAATGAGTTTGCTGACCACTGGCCTAGCCTCTAAGCTGATGTCACATATTTTAGTCTTTTTTATTATAGCAAGAATACCTTCCCCTCTTCTAGGATGGGCTAGAACAGTGATGGCGAACCTTTTGAGCTCAGCATGTCAGCATTTTGAAAAACCCTAACTTAACTCTGGTGCCATGTCACATATAGAAATTTTTTGATATTTGAAACCATAGTAAGACAAAGATTTATATTTTTGATATTTATTTTTTATATTTAAATGCCATTTAACAAAGAAAAATCAACCAAAAAATGAGTTCGTGTGTCACCTCTGACACTTGTGTCATAGGTTCGCCATCACTGGGCTAGGATATTCTGTAGAAACAATCAGCACCCAAATTTTAGTGTCTTAAGAAACAAAGGTTTATTTCTCTTTCATATTGTGTCCATCATAGGTTAACAGGGAGGTTCTACTCATCATAATTAACACAGGGTGCCAGGCTGTGGGAACCATCTCTACATTGTAGGTCATGGCTGTGCTAGAGGGAAAAGAGAGAACTCTGTAAGGTCCCTCTCTGGCAATTATCTATCCCATGCTAGGAGGTAACACCCATCATTTCCACTGATTACTCATTAGTCACCTATTACTTCCACAGAAAGTGAGGAGATTCAGAAGTATTTGGCCAAAAGCACTAATAATTGCTATAGCAAGTGAAGACTTGAGGAAAGAGAATCTTTACTCCGCTCCTTAGAAGGACCCAAAACATTTTTTATTTATTTTAAGAGTATACAATTATTAAATTTTCATTTGAAGATTTTTATTATATTCTCTTTTGTAGATAATGGTATTAATGTAGATAATTTGATTTAGAGATCAACCATTTCAGAAGTTAAATGTATTTTCCTCATGTCTGAGAAAAATTCATATGATTTCAAAAATTATATGTAGTAATTAGGGTAAAATTTTACATACCACTATATAGGCAAATAATTTAATTTACTATTATTTTTAGAGTCATTGTTTAATTACTTCTCTTCCTTAATAGTTTTATGTTAGTAGGAGAACCTTTTGCTGCTAAGACAGAAGTTCTGCATGTGCTGGCTGATACTCTAACTCTTATGCATGAACGTGGCTATGGAGAGGAAGAAAAGGTCATTTATAGGACTGTAAACCCCAAATCCATTACTATGGGCCAACTTTTTGGACAGTTTGACCCAGTATCTCATGAGGTAATGTATAGTATAAACATTCTCAACTCTTATTGACAATGCACATTAAACCAAAAGATTTGAAATGTTTTCATATAATCACTTTGTAGTTCTATATAGGAAGCTTTCCAATTTTTCCTTTTTTCCTCCTCAGTGGACTGATGGTATTGTGGCTAACACTTTTAGAGAATTTGCCTTATCAGAAACAACTGACCGGAAATGGGTTGTATTTGATGGTCCCATTGACACCTTGTGGATAGAGAGCATGAACACAGTATTGGATGATAATAAAAAGGTAAAATCATCATCATTAAAAACAAGACATGCACAATATGAATATAACTAACACTACTGAATTATAAACTTAAAAATGGCTGATATGATAACTTTAATGTTGTATTTTTTACCACAATTTTAAAAAGCAAAGGAATGTTGTAAGTTCAACAACTAATCACTTAGGACTGTATATTTGAAATAAAGGATGCAGAAGGTTGCATAACTTTATAAATGATATTTCCAATGAAAATTTTTCCGTAAATTCTTTGCTTAATTTTTATAGAATAAAAGTATATTGTATTAAATTACTATGTTAGCAGGAAGGCATACTAATGTAATAGGTGATAATAATTTATAAAGTAACTGCAGACCTATGGTTTCTTCAGAACTTTAAATTAATATTTTAGGAAAAAAGAAAAAGACTACATTCCTTTTTTAAAACATCGAATGCTTCAGTGCTATATGTGGTATATTACCTTAGAATCTATAACATATACAAAGAAGTAGAAAATGGAAGACTTCTAGTATTTATTTTAATTGAGAGAGAACATACATACAGCATAAAACTTTAAGTTTAAATTCTATGTGTTTTTTTACATAAGTATACCCTCACATAATTGTCACCTAGGTAAAGATGCCTAAAATTTCTTGTATCTTACAAAGTTCATTCATGTCCCTTCCCAATCAGTATACCCCAGGAGCAATAACTATTCTGACTTCTACTGTGATAAATTAGTTTTGCTGGTTCTTGAACTTCATGGAATGGAATTATACTCTTAAGTGTTTTCTTTTTTTAAGTCAGTATAGTATCTGTGATGTTCATGTTGTTATAGTTCCATTTTATTTATTTATTCTTTTTATGTCTGTGTTTATGTTCTACTGTATGAATATACCACAATTTATTTTCATATTTACATGAAATTACTATACCACTAAACAAGCAAATTAATTTCATTAGCATTCAAACATATACTTCAGTACTTTATCATAGGTGATTGGTCATTTATTCATATTCTTTCATAAATTTAGTCATATTGACTAAGCTAAGAGGGGGGCGGAGGAGAGAACAGAGAAGATACAGTGATGATTCACAAGAGAGGGGTTAACCAGTAGAGACAAGTCTAAGAATTCATAGCCAGGTAGAAGGATTATTTCATATTGGGTAAGAGGGAAGCAGTAAAGGATAGATATAGACACAGGTGAATGTATGGATTTGAAAGTGGAAATTTGAAGACAAATCTTTTTGGTTATTTATTTTTACTTTGTGAAGTTGCAGGCCCTATTTCTTTTGCACACTTGAGGAGAAAGGAGAAGATTTAAAGGGGCCATTAGGAAAATGGGAAAGAGCTGCCTAGGAAACTATAGAAGCATATCAGAGTGTTACTGAGAACTTGATTGAATTGAAGACCATGAATTATTAGTAGTAGTGCCAAGGTCTGCCTTTGTGAGATTTTCTTTAAGAGTATAAGTGGTTTGTGTGTGTGTGTGTGTGTGTGTGTGTGTGTGTGTGTGTGTGTGTGGATAATGTTGCTAGACTGGAAATACAGGAAGACTTTAAGATATTGGCATGAGAATGGTAGAAGTGCTAGGCCAAAGAACTGAAGTTGCTTAATAATGGAGGAAGTGGGAACAATAGGGATATGAAAATGAAGAGCAATGGGGAAAAAGAAAACATATGCAATACTTTTAAAAAATAAAAAATAAAAGAAAATGAAGAGCAAGTGTGGTATGAATTAATGAGCAAGAGAGCTGGATGGGTGGGAGTCTGTGGGCAGAAATTGGGATGCTCAAACTTAGTATTTTAGAATTGTTTAGTGTTTCAGTAGAGAAGGCCCCAGGTATATAAGTGGATGGCTGGAGTGGAGTAGGAGAATAAGTGAAGACCAAGTGGTCAAGGGTCCAAGTTTTATGAGATGCTCCCCCTCTGAGCACTGGATCAGGCCAGAGTTATAGGAGAAAGAAGATTAAACCAAGTATGAAGGCTGTAGCTAACAGAGGGGAATGATTGGGTGTTGGTGAGTGACAGCAGCAAGCAGGGGTTGTCAAAAGAGCAAGGATTGTACTGGAGGGTGGAGTAGAAGTATTTGAGAAACAGCATGAGGGTATAAGGAGAAGGCTGATTCTACCTCCCAAATTTGTAGCATGTAGAAGAATGTTTGCTGAAATAATCTGTTGAAAAGTTAATAGTATTCTAGACTAGCATTGTCCAATAGAACTTTCTGCAATGATGTAAATATCTGCACTGTCCAACAAAGTAGCCACTAGTCACATGTGGCTTATTGAGTATTTACTCACATATTGAGCATCTGAAATGTGGCTTAGTACAATTGAAGAACGGACTTTAAATTTTTAAAAATGTAATTAGCTAAAATATATAATAATAAAAGCGTAATATGCTAATTAGACAGGACATCCTTCCGGACGATTCTGGGGCTGTGAGGGAAGCTCGGGTCCCGGGTGTCAGAGGGAAGTCAGTGCTGGCAGCTGGGGGAAGGAAGGCCTACTCCTGCATGAATTTCAAGTTAAATATAAATAGCCACATATGATTACTGGTTAACACATTGGACAGTCCAGGTATAGACCATTTATTTATAAGCAGATTCAGAAATGTTAAATGCCATGTTATTGACATATAACTAGACAGGGACAGAACTGAACTAGAGTTGTAATGGTAGAAGCAGAGAAGAAATACTGAAAAATAAATGAATAGGAAGTATTTAAGAGACTTAGTAATGAAATTAACTTGGAATATCAATAATTAATAATTATTATTAAATTATTAAAACTTGATAATTCCAAAGTTAGAAGCCAAAGAGATTAAGAAGACAGAATGGCTTTAGTAATAATGAACAAGAAAGGCGTTTGGCAGAAAGGGAGAAGTTGATAAATTCAATTTTACATATTTGATCAAAAAGGAATATTTTAGATTAAAAGGGACCAAGGGGGCATAGCAGACACAATTCATGGTCATTGATTGAATTTTTGTTTCAGTAAATCAGTTAAAAAGACATTTCTGGCACAATTGAGAAAATGTAAATATTGGGTGAGTTGATGATATTAAGGAATTATTGGTAATTGTGTTAGATGTGATCATATTGTGGTGATATAGAAAAGACCTTATTTTTTAGATGAATATTGGCATGTAAAATGTCATGGTATATGTAATGATCTTTAAAATAATTTTTTTAAAAGAGGCAAAAATGGCAAAATGTTAACATTGATAAATCTAGGAGATAAGTATATGAGTATTCATATTTACTTATTACATCATATCACATATATTATCTTATAAGTAAAATACATTTTCATTTGAGAAGTTTGAAAAATTTTTACATAAACATTTGAAAAAATAATTGTTTTTAGCTTTGCCTTATGAGTGGAGAAATCATTCAAATGTCCCCTCAAATGAGCCTAATCTTTGAAGCAATGGACCTTTCCCAGGCCTCAGTAAGTTCATAATTTACTATAACAATTGTTTGTTGATTCATTTATTTATTTAATCAATAAGTGTTTTAATTATGTTTCAGAAGATGAGTTAGACACTAGAAATACAAAGATGAATAAGACACAGTGTAGGCTCATTTAGGGAAGATGAGAAGCATGCTAATAAATAATCCCAATATAGAGCTACATGTAAGTGCTCTAAGAATGTGGAGAGGGTGAGTGCCCCAGAAGGGTATGGAAAACAATTGAGTGTTTGATCTGGTTTTGAGAGGTAAGACTTCTCCAGGGAGATTGTTTGGGGCTGGGTATTCCAAATCATGACAAGATATAAAGACCTGAAGCCAAGGCATGCTTGGGGAACTGTAACTTTAAATAGTTCAAATAGTATGTGAGGCTATAGAGAAAGACAGGAGCCAGATCGTGAAGGGCTTTATAAGTTATGCAAAGTAGTAGTTAGTAACTTCCAGGTACTACTGCTATAGAAGCAATATTGGAAAAAGAAAATTTGTCTTTTTTCTCTAGCCCGCCACTGTAAGCCGCTGTGGCATGATTTATTTGGAACCCTCACAATTAGGATGGGAACCGCTTGTGTCTTCATGGTTGAGTTCACTGAAGGGACCTTTACAGGAACATGAAAATCAGGCTCTTCTGAGAGGACTTTTTGACTGGTTAATATGGCCCTCTTTAAGGCTTCGTAAGAAACAGTGCAAGGTAACACTGCTGTTCTCTGACCCACTGAAATGTATTTAGGGAGCTGGGTGAATAGGTGAAGGGATTAAAAAAAACTTTAAAAATTGAAATTATTTATACAGACAACAGTATGGTGATTACCTGAGGGAAAGGGGAAGTGGGGGCTGGTAGAAGAGGGTAAAGGGGGGATAAATGGTGACACAGGAGACCTGACCTTGGGTGGTGAACACAAATACAATCTACAGATGATGTACTATAGAATTATACACTTGAACCTATATAATTTTACTAACCAATGTCACTCCAAAAAATTCATTTAAAAAGAAAAAGACATTGGCAGGGCCACGCTTCCTCTGGAAGCTATAAGGGAGAGCCTTTCCTTACCTCTTCCAGCTTCTTTTAGCTTTGGATATACTTATCTTGTAGCTGTATAACTCTAAGTCTCTTCCTTTATGTTTACCTGGTTTTCTATTCTGTCTCTCCACTGTGTGACTCATAAAGATTGAGGACCTTAAATTTAGGGTCTATCAAATAATTCAGAATATTCTCCTCATCTTGAGATTCTTAATTGCATCTTCAAAGACACTTTGCAAATAAGATATTCATGAGTCCATGGGATTAATTAGGACAGGGAAAATCTGTGAGGGGACCAAAATTCAACCCACCACATACATATACACACAGACACACATGCACAAACATTCGTTTCTTACATATAAATAAATACAGAGTGGGGCAAAGTAGGTTTCCAGTTGTGAGTACGTGAAACACTTTATTCTTGTATTATTATTTATAAATTATTGTGTTGTTTTTCATATGAACAACCAGAAACCTTCTTTTGCCCCACACTGTATATTGATCTAGAGAAGACAAAGGGGTATTCATTCAGTAGATTTCTTTATCCTAAAATATTATTTAAGATAGGAAAAATATTCTGCATTAAAGGAAAAAAATAAAAAATTTCTACTTTATGAAGATTCTGTACAATGTTTTTATAAAGAAAATATACAGGTAAAGTCACTTTTTAGTTTTTGTATTTTATTTTATTTATTTATTTATTTATTTATTTATTTTTAATATATTTTATTGATTTTTTACAGAGAGGAAGGGAGAGAGATAGAGAGTTAGAAACATGGTTGAGAGAGAAACATCGATCAGCTGCCTCCTGCACATCTCCCACTGGGGATGTGCCCGCAACCCAGGTACATGCCCTTGACCGAAATCGAACCCGGGACCTTTCAGTCCGCAGGCCGACGCTCTATCCACTGAGCCAAACCGGTTTCTATTTAGTTTTTGTATTTTAAAGCTCTAATATTACATGTTGTAAATAATACAAAATACGCTTCTGAGTGATGTATTTTCTTCTTACAATTCATTCCCATATTTTCCACATTCAGTTAGTCCCCAAGATCTATGGATTTTCCCTCCTTGCTAACTTTTATATTTGACATCTTCTCTCCATCCCAGTTCCTCTGATCACCCCACTTCTACCTATAATAATAACCTTTGTTCTGACTTAATCATTTTCTACTTGAATCTATACAATAGAGCTGCTCTGGTCCAGTATACATCCTGGTACCAAAATGAAGATTCCAAAACACAAATTCATTCCATTTACTCTCCTACTTAAAATCATCCTCTATTGTAACCCTCTTTTCTTAGCATGAAATCTTATCACAGGCTACAAAGCCTTTGAGAATCTGATCCCTGTCTGCTTCTCAAGCATTATTTCTTGCCACTCCTTTTCCACAAGCTATTTTCACATCCTAAAAAGTTCCCTTAATTCTGGGTCCACGTATATTTCCATTTCTGTGAATATAAAGTTTCTCCTGTTTTGAATGCCCTTTCTTTTAGCACCTGGCTAACTTTTTCCACCCAAATTTAGCTCAGCTATTACTTAATCTGGGAAGCCTTTCTTGATTTATTCCTCTCCCACTTCCCTTCTTGACCTCTTCCCTGGGTCTGGGCTAATTGTTTATCTCAAGTACTCTAGGAGCCTCTTTCCACCCTGATACTTCCTCTGCCTTGTCAGTATCACCCCATATTACTTTTGTCCACTTAACTTCAATATCACTACTTTTCAGATAGTGTGTGTGTTTTCTTTCTATATCTCCTAGCTTGGTATATACGTATAACATGTTTTTTATAAGTGTTTGTTGAATAAATAAATGAATGAATGGCAGTTAGAGACTTTATTTCTACCCCTAGAACACTGTTTATTCTCTTACAGTAGCTAATTTATTTCTTAGATAATTTAGAATATGTTATATAAAACTATGGAATATGCTAAACCAAAATATTTGAGAGATGTATTTATCATGTATACAGTTTAAATTCTTTATATGCTTTTATCAGTTTTTAAAATATTTATCTTCTTTTATTTTTTTAAATAAGATGAAAGAAAAGCATAATATTTTTTTCACTTTACAGGAACTGATTCCTACAAGTGATAGCAATGCAGTTGTATCTCTCACACGCCTCTTTGAAGTACTCCTCTGTGATGTGGTAGAAAATGATCCTACAAGCAAGCACATTCATGTTTGGATTATGGTTGGTTTTATTCTTAATGTGGTATTTGATTATAGACTAAAATATGCCTTTGACAAATGATACTTGTACTGAGAATGACATTGTAAGATCCAGAGCTGGTTTTTGATGAGCACTGAAAGAATAACTGAAGACATTAAAGTTGCCCTTACCTGGTATTTTGATTTAAAAAACACTTCAAAGAAAGTAAAATATGTCAGAACAAACCAAATCTACCCTGTTATTGATAAAGTATCATAATTTGATAAACAATAAGGTGACTTCATATTAATCCAATATGGACTTTAGGTGAATTGATTTTGTCTTAATCTTAAACCAGCATGCAGACTGCAAGAAGCTGGCTACAAAAGACAAGGAGTAGGCACACACCTGTTGGGTGGAGCATTGCTGGCAGAATCCCTACAGGGGTAGGAAGGATTCACTCGTCCAGGATGGCTAATGTCTAGAAGTCAGAGAAAGCCAGAAAACATCACTCTGAGGGAGCCAAAGGAAAGAGTGGTTTTGCTCTCTTCCTTGGTGTTAGGCTACTTTCCCATCCATCACCTTATTCCTGAAAGTCTTGATCTCCTCTGCTCAGTCTACTTTCTCTTCTAATTTGGTAATAGCAGTTTCTTCCTGTTGTTTCCCCTTCATCTGTTGCCATAGAAAATTACTTCAGACATCTCACATTCCAGTGTTCCCTGCTAACCATAATCTCTTCCTTTCCCCTCTCCCTTTGTCTTTATTTCTCTCCACTTTCAAAGAAATTGATCAGACATGTTTGAAATGTAATTTATTCATATCCCTATTTCTCCCTAAGTTTGGAACTGCCTTTCACAGAATTAGTTTTTAATATTCTTCCATACATGTAAGTGCTACCTTTCTATAAAATAAAAGTATCTTAGGAATAGTTTCCCTATGTAACCTTCATGTTATATATTTCCTGGAATTTTTCATTCTGTTGGTAAACCTAAACTCCCAAAATTATTTTAATGGTTCAGAATCATTTTTAGACAAATATAGATCTATATCAGGCTGAAAATTTCCTCTCAAAATATATTTGATAGATGTTTAAACTAGGTAAGGCATGTGCCCTGAGTAAAATTTGAAAGTCAAAAGTAGGTTTTCCATCCATACCAGTCCTCCAGCCACTCTCAGGTCAACTACTATTACCAGTGCCCAGATAGCCTGCTAGAGGTATTTGATGCATACTCTTATGTGTATACATTTACAAAATATATTTTATTGATTTCAGAGAGGAAGGGAGAAGGAGAGAGAGATAGAAACATGAATGATGAGAGAGTCATTGATCGGCTGCCTCCTGCATGCCCCCTACTGGGGATTGAGCTCACTACCTGGGCATGTGACCTTGATCAGAATCAAACCTGGAACCCTTCAGTCCACAGGCCAATACTCTCTCCACTGAACCAAACCGGCCAGGGCTGTATACATTTTTATACATGTTAGCATACCATCTATACTTATTTACATCTTTTCTCACAATATATCTTGGAGATCATTCCATATTATCTTTTTTTAACAGCTGCATGTATTCTAGTGTATGTAGCATAATCCAATTAAGCAGACCCCTATTGCAGAACATTTGGGTTCCTTTTATTCTTTTGGTATCACAAACAATGCTACAGTGAATTTTCTTGTACATATATCATTTTAACAGTTGGAAATATATTTCAGGATAAAGTCCTAAAAGAGAATTTCCTAGGTCATTTGGCATGGACATTTTAAATTTAGATAATTATTATTTTTTTAAATATATTTTATTGATTTTTCACAGAGAGGAAGGGAGAGGGACAGAGAGTTAGAAACATCGATGAGAGAGAAACATCGATCAGCTGCCTCCTGCACATCTCCTACTGGGGATGCGCCCGCAACCCAGGCACATGCCCTTGACCGGAATCGAACCCGGGACCCTTGAGTCTGCAGGCCGACGCTCTATCCACTGAGCCAAACCGGTTTCGGCAATTTAGATAATTATTGCAAGAGAAATGATTCTATGTGATTTAGCTGTGTTCCAGTAGATTTTATTTATACATCTGATCTTTTCCAAGTAAGTTAACCAGGCCTAGTATCTTAAATTGTAATTTATTCTTTAAAAATTTCTTTTAAATAATGAGTTTAAATTAAATATTTTTAATTTAATTTATTGAGGTGACATTGGTTAATAAAATTATACTGGTTTCAGGCATGCAATTCTACAATACATCATCTGTATATTGTATTGTGTGTTTACCACTCCACGTCAAGTCTCCTTCCATCACTATTTATGCCCCCTTTCCCTTCTACTTTCCCCATCCTCTTCCCTCTGGCAATCACCATACTATTATCTGTTTTTTCTTTTTGTTTTTTACCAACAGGCTTGCTTTATGTTTTCTTTGATTTGGTCCATTGGAGGAAGTTGTGATACAAATGGTCGCATTATTTTTGATTCTTTCCTACGATCAGTCATGCTGGGAAATATTGAAAGCATCCCAGTGCCTGATTCTGTGGGTAAATGGGAATGCCACTTTGATGAAAAAGGCTTGGTATATGATTACATGTATGAGGTATGATATAAAATTATTGTTATGATAAGCTGTAAACCACAATTTGGATCAGCAGGCAAAATTCCTGAGTTCCAATTCTAGAGTTATTTTGAATTGTGTGGTTAGCATTGTAGTTCTTTCTCTTTAGTTTCTTCTCCTGTAACTTGTGGACAGACAGATAAACTTGCTTTAAGAATAGTTTAAAATTTCAGATTTAAATTAAATATATTTTCTCCACTTTTAAAATAATTTACAAAAGGATTATTTTAAACAGTAACCATTTGAATAATCATTTGACTCATGCAAATTTTTCCTAATAAAGTCATAAGATCTGGGATTTTTTACCTAAATCTCAAGGTTTATAGATTAAGAAACAAACCTAGAGAGGCAATGCCCAGAAGAGTCAGGACTTGAACCTAGTTCTCTTGACTGCCAGTGCAGAAATCTTTCCACAAAACCATTCTTAAAAACAGAATTTTACGAATATGACCAGAGTTTCATCCTCATTAGTCACAATGAGAAATCAATAAAATAATTTCTAAAACTAAAAAACCAAGAGTGGTAACACAGCATATTCCTTAATAATTGGAGGAAAATGCCAAAATATCCAGCTTAAAGAGCGAACTGTAGTTGCTGTTGGAAAGGAGAAAATGATATTTGAGAGGGTGACTACTGGTGTTTTTTCAATTACAGTTGACATTCTGTATTATATTAGATTCAGGTGTACAGCATAGTGGTCATATAACTTACAAAATGATCTCTCCAATAAGTCTTGACCCCATACATAGTTACAACAACATTATTGACTATATTCCCTAAGCTGTACTTTACATTCCCCGTGACTATTTTGTAACTACCAATTTGTACTTCTCAATCCCTTCACCTTTTTCACTCTATGTGATTTAACTGTGTTCTAATAGATTTTATTCATAGATCTGATTTTGTCCAAGTAAGTTAACCAGGCCTTAATATATTAAACTAGAGGCCTGGTGCATGAATTTCTCCACATCAGACCCGGTGAGGTCCCTCAGCCTAGCCTGTGGGGATCAGTGGACCTCCGCGCTGCCGCAGCCCAGCCTTACCTTACCTGCCAGCTCTTAGGGCTCCAGCCCACTGTCCGCATCAATCCCGCACAGCGAGAAGTGGTGTGCCAAGCGGCAGGTGACGGGGGAGGAGCCTGTGCTGGGCACCACATAGCTCCCGCTCATCCCAGCCTCACTGTGCCTTGCCGCTCGTGTGCACAGGGGTAGTGTTCAAAGGAGAGGCTAGCCAGCAGTCAGCCCAGCGTCTGGCGCCCCTCTGTCAGCTGACCGGAGCTCTTGCTGTGGGAGCGCACTGACCACCAGGGGGCAGCTCCTGCATTAAGTGTCTGTCCCCTGGTGGTGCACATCACAGCTACCGGTCAGTCATTTGGTTGTCTAGTTGTCCCGTCATCTAGTCGCTTAGGCTTTTATATAAACAGATTGCAATTAATTTTTTTAAATGTCTTTTAAATAAATAGTTTAAATTAGATCCCTAAACCCTTCGCATCTGGCAGCCATCAGTTTGTTTGCTGTATCTATGAGTTTGTTTGTGTTTTGTTTGTTTTGTATTTTAGAATTCACATATGAGTGAAATCATATGATATTTGTCATTTTCACTCTGACTTTATTTTTGTTTGTTTTTTTTTAAAAATATTTTTATTGATTTCACAGAGGAAGGGAGAGAGAGAGAGAGAGAGAGAGAGAGAGAGGGAAACATCAATGATGAGAGAGAATCATTAACTGGCTGCTTCCTGCATGCCCCCCACTGGAGATCAAACCCCCCACCCAGGCATGTGCCCTGACCAGGAATCCAACCAATCCAACCAATCACACTGTGACCTCCTGATTCATAGGTTGATGCTCAACCACTGAGTCACTCGGGTCAGGCCTGTCTTACTTTATTTAGCATAATATCCTCTAGGTCCATGGATGTTGTTGCAAATGGCAAGATTTCCCTCTTTATTATGGCTGAGTAATATTTCATTGTATATATGTACCCTCCTTTATCCATTCATCTATTGATAATATTTAGGTTGCTTTCATATCTTGGCTATTAAAAATAATGCTGCAATTAACATAGAGTTGCATGTGTGTTTTAGATTTCTTTGAATAAGTACCCAGAAATGGGTCATATGATATTTGCAAGTGCTAGTCACAGCAATTGGACAAAAATAGAATAAATAATTTTCAAGTGCATATGGAACATTTTCTAGGTTAGATCATGTGTTAGACTACAAAAGAAGTATAAGTAATTTAAGAAGACTGAAATATATCAAGCATCTATTTCAACCATAATGGTTTGAAACTAGAAATCAATTATAAGAAATAAAACACACTTTTTTTTTAATTCTGTGTTTTACTTCTTATAATGGATTTTAAATTATATTTTTAATTTTTGAGAAGGCTCCATACTATTTTCCATTCCAGGCTCTCTGCCCATTTTTAAATCAGATTATTTTTCCTTTTGGTGTTAAGGCTTGAGTCCTTTACATATTTTGGATATTAACCTCTTATTGGATGTATCATTGGCAAATATCTTCTCTCATTCAGTAGGTTGGCTATTTGTTTGTTTTTTATGGTTTTCATTGCTGTGCAATAACTTTTTAGTTTGCCAAAGCTCCATTTGATTATTTTTTCTTTTGTTTGCCTTGCCTGAAGAGACATATCAAAAAATAAATAAAAAATTTATTAAGAGCTATGTCATAGTTTACTGCCTATGTTTTCATCTATTGGTTTTATGGTTTTAGGTCTTACATTTAAGTCTCTAATACATTTTGAATTTATCTTGTTTATGGTGTAAGAAAGTGGTCTAGTTATTTTTTTTTGCATGTATCTGTCCAGTTTTCACAACACTATTTATTGAAAAGACTATCTTTATTCCATTGTATATTTTTGCCTCCTTTGTCATAGATCAATTGACCATATAGGTCTGGGTTTATTTCTGGGTCTCTGTTTTATCCCATTGAACTATGTGTCTATTTTTATGCCAATATCATGCTGTTTTGATTACTATAGCCTTGTATTATAGTTTGATATCAGGTAGTGTGGTACCTTTAACTTCATTCCTTTTTTTCAAGATTGTGTTGGCTATTTTGGGTCTTTTGTGGTTCCATGTAGATTTTAGGATTACTTACACTAGTTCTGTGAAAAGTGCCACTGGTATTTTGATAGGGATTTCATTGAATCTATAGATCGCTTTGTATAGCATGGATATTTTAACAATGTTACTTCTCCCTATCCTTGAGCATGGTATATGCTTCTATTATTCGTATCTTCTTCAATTTCTTTCTTCAGTGTCTTACAATTTTTAGAGTATAGGTCATATATAAACTTGGTTAAATTTATTTCTAGGTATTTTATTATTTTTGATGTAATTGTAAATGGGACTTTATTTTTAACTAGAGGCCCAGCGCATGAAATTCGTGCATGGGAGGGGGGGTTCCTCCCCCTGACCTGCACCCTCTCCAATCCAGGAGCCCTCAGGGGATGTCTACTGATGGCTTAGGCCCAAAGAGGCCTAAGCTGCAGTCTGGCCTCCTTCTGCAGGAGGTGACCGGGCTGATCAAGGGAAGATGCTGCCACCATCACCCCACTGCTGCTGCCACCATCACCCACTGCTGCTGCCAGTGCCGGCTGCCACAGCCACCAAGGTGTTTTCATCAACGCGGACTCCAGTCCCTTCACCACAAAAAAATGACAACTTTAGGCATTTTCAAGATGTGTCTTTTATATGATATGACCTTTCCTTTCCTTTTTCCTTTTTCCTTTCTCCTTTTTCCTTTTTCCTTTTTCCTTTTCCCTTTTCCCTTTCCTTTTCTTTTCCTCACCTGAGGATATTTTCCCATTGATTTTTAGAGAGCATGGAAGAGAGAGGGAAAGACAGAGAGAAACATCAATGTGAGAGGGACACTTCAATTGGTTGCCTCATGCATGAGCCCTGACCTGGGCCCCAGCCAGGGAGGAGCCTGCAACCTAGGTACATGCCCTTGACCAGAATCGAACCCAGACCCTGCAGTCAGCAGGCCAAGGCTCTATCCACTGAACCAAACTGGCTAGGGCAGGATATGACATTTCTTAACCCCTCCAGCAGCAGACCTTCATTTTTTCCTCCAGGAGTGAGGTGGAAAAACCCTAGATCACCTTCTTGGATTCTTATTACCCAAGTTACCAAGAACACTGTGAGTGGCGTACCAGGAGCTTAGCCAATGAGCAGTCAGAAAAGGTATTTCCTCTGTAGCTCATGTGCAGAGGCAGGACTGCCGGGCGCGCTGTGGCTGGCAGGCCCTGCTGTCTGTCTATGGGCCTGCTCTCTGTCCCTGCCCCGCCCCGCCCACCGGGCTACCAGCCTTGCTGTGATAGGAGCCTGTGGGCCATGGGGACAGGACCCAGAGGTGCTCCATGCACTTCCTCGTGACCGGTTGTTTGTCTGGTCGTGAAGGCCCTGGCCTATTATTAGTATAGATTTCTCTTTATGATAGTTTGTTATTAGTATATAGAAATGCAACAGATTTCTGGATATTAATTTTGTATCCTGCTACTTTGCTGAATTCATTTACCAGTTCTATAGTGTTTTGGTGAACTATTTAGGGTTCTCTCTCTATATGTCATGTCATCTACCAAAAAATGGCAGTTTTACTTCTTCCTTTCTAACGTAAATGCCTTTTATTTCTTCCTTTCTAATTTGGATGTTGTGTTTGTGTGTTTTACTTCTTATAATTTATTTCTAGTTTCATACCATTGTGGTTGAAATAGATGCTTGATATATTTCAGTCTTCTTAAATTACTGATACTTCTTTTGTAGTCTAACATGTGACCTATCCTAGAAAATGTTCCATGTGTACTTGAAAATTATTTATTCTATTTTTGTACAATTGCTGTGGCTAGGACTTGCAATACTGTGTTGAATGAAAGTGGTAAAAATGAATATCCTTGTCTTGTTCCTGATCTTAACAAAAATGCTTTTAGGTTTTCACCATTGAGTATGATGTTAGTTGTGAG